TTCCTCTGAGAACTCACTGACAAGATCTGGATCTGCAAGGGCCGAAAGCCTTGAACAGGACACAGGTGATTCAAGAACAGCTGCTGGGGCTTCTAAGGTATATTTTTTTATCTCAGCTATGAAAAGGAGTCTATTGCTTAATCTGGGTAATGGGGCTATGAAAACATCATAAAATGTGGAAATGCATTAGTTTATCCCTGGAACTTCCTCACAATGCTTCAATTGAAAGGTCTTAGGACCTGTACATTGAGTCAAGCGCTTTTATACTCATTTCCTTTTCTTCCTTGAAACAAGATGTAACGGAAATTATGGGTTATGATGCTGTCCAAATTCACTAGATTCATTTGGAAAATTGTATTATTTTCCTGATTTTGAATTGATTAAATTATTCATAGATTGAAAAAAGTCCATCCAATAAACTAGTTTTTATCTGTTAAGTGGACCATCAGATGGTGAGCCTTTTCTTAGGTGTTGGGTGTTGAAAAAGGCTAACTCTGGGTGACTATTTGACCTGTCAGTGTAGAATGACAATATTTTCAATTATCTGGCCTTTTGCTTCTCAGAATGTTGTTGTTTCATGTTTAACCATCCCTTTTTGATTCTTATGTTGATGCATTTTGATAACATCTGATTGTCAAGGGTGGGCGAAGATCATCAGACTTGGGGGGTTTCTTCGCTAACGCTGATGCCAACTATCTAGGGAGAGACATAACTGGAGAAAGGCACCACATCAACAGCTTAGAAAACACCATCACTGATATAGACCCCATGGATATGTCAGAAAGTATGCAAGAAGCAATGCACCGTTCAAATCTGGAAATGAGGTACATATTCACACAAACCTTGTTTCAATCCCTTAATTGCATCCTCCAAGAACTCGGTAGAAGTGTCCGGTAGTTTTCTGGTTTTTACTCGTTGCTTTGGAAATGGAGTTAAAGAGTAAAGAGCACATTAATTATTTTTACTACTTTGAATAGGATGGTTCTAGTTATTGACTTGGTTTGAGAAGATCCACGGTATGTTTCCTTGCTTGTCTGATTCATATTCAAATATATCATTAGGATAATTTCAATGTGTTTTCAAAGGAATTATGAGAGTGAATGTTGATAGGACTGCAATAATTAGAGCCCAGTCAATTACCAGGCTACCCAAGCTTGGCTCGACTGCAATTTCAAGTAATCGGCTTCGGCTCATGTTCATTTGATCTTGGACACCTCTACTCTAAGCTAAGGTTGGGTCAGTTAAATGCCTGACTTCAATTATTTAACTAGAATGGTTGAAAGTTTGGAAAGCTAGGGACGAATAGGAAATGAGATGCACTTTTTGCTATCTCATACATTCAGACACATAACGGTGTTGTGTACAGAGAGAAAAGAAGAGTGAGAAAGGTTGAAATTTGTTGAGGAAGGTTACTGGATGGAATTCGTATGTTGGAAAGTTCATAGATAATAGGTGTCCGTTGACTGTCTAACCTCTCTCTAGGGTGGGAGATTTGGCTTCTAGTTTTTATGCCAGAAGCAGTAGAGCTCCTTTACTTCTTAAAGTAGAACTTGAATTAAGTTTCATTTAAAAAGATTTTAAAAGTGACAGAGCAAGTTAAAATGAAGAACGATGTAATTGTGATAGACAAGAAGTCATTTTGCAATGGTCATTTTGCTCTAGGCATTTTCCCCCCATAAATTAGGGAGTTTTTTTCCCCACTTAAAAGTAAAGTTATTTTGAAGACCACAAGTTCAACAGGCAATGGACCCAAGCTTGGGTCTATACAGGCTCAGCTTCTTTATTAAATGCTTCCAATAATTGCTTTAGCAATTTGGAAGGAGCTCAAAACCGGGAGGGATATATTCATGCACATCTCTTTAATTAATTGCATGTTGAATAGGGTTTTCTTGAAGTAGGAAACATAATACTTTTTGCTTTGTTTGTGAATATCCTTCTTGTATCTAACACCCCCCCCCCCCCCCCCCCCCCCCCCCCCCCCCCCCCCCCCCCCCCCCCCCCCCCCCCCCCCCCCCCCCCCCCCCCCCCCCCCCCCCCCCCCCCCCCCCCCCCCCCCCCCCCCCCCCCCCCCCCCCCCCCCCCCCCCCCCCCCCCCCCCCCCCCCCCCCCCCCCCCCCCCCCCCCCCCCCCCCCCCCCCCCCCCCCCCCCCCCCCCCCCCCCCCCCCCCCCCCCCCCCCCCCCCCCCCCCCCCCCCCCCCCCCCCCCCCCCCCCCCCCCCCCCCCCCCCCCCCCCCCCCCCCCCCCCCCCCCCCCCCCCCCCCCCCCCCCCCCCCCCCCCCCCCCCCCCCCCCCCCCCCCCCCCCCCCCCCCCCCCCCCCCCCCCCCCCCCCCCACCCCCCCCCCCCCCCCCCCCCCCCCCCCCCCCCCCCCCCCCCCCCCCCCCCCCCCCCCCCCCCCCCCCCCCCCCCCCCCCACCCCCCCCCCCCCCCCCCCCCCCCCCCCCCCCCCCCCCCCCCCCCCCCCCCCCCCCCCCCCCCCCCCCCCCCCCCCCCCCCCCCCCCCCCCCCCCCCCCCCCCCCCCCCCCCCCCCCCCCCCCCCCCCCCCCCCCCCCCCCCCCCCCCCCCCCCCCCCCCCCCCCCCCCCCCCCCCCCCCCCCCCCCCCCCCCCCCCCCCCCCCCCCCCCCCCCCCCCCCCCCCCCCCCCCCCCCCCCCCCCCCCCCCCCCCCCCCCCCCCCCCCCCCCCCCCCCCCCCCCCCCCCCCCCCCCCCCCCCCCCCCCCCCCCCCCCCCCCCCCCCCCCCCCCCCCCCCCCCCCCCCCCCCCCCCCCCCCCCCCCCCCCCCCCCCCCCCCCCCCCCCCCCCCCCCCCCCCCCCCCCCCCCCCCCCCCCCCCCCCCCCCCCCCCCCCCCCCCCCCCCCCCCCCCCCCCCCCCCCCCCCCCCCCCCCCCCCCCCCCCCCCCCCCCCCCCCCCCCCCCCCCCCCCCCCCCCCCCCCCCCCCCCCCCCCCCCCCCCCCCCCCCCCCCCCCCCCCCCCCCCCCCCCCCCCCCCCCCCCCCCCCCCCCCCCCCCCCCCCCCCCCCCCCCCCCCCCCCCCCCCCCCCCCCCCCCCCCCCCCCCCCCCCCCCCCCCCCCCCCCCCCCCCCCCCCCCCCCCCCCCCCCCCCCCCCCCCCCCCCCCCCCCCCCCCCCCCCCCCCCCCCCCCCCCCCCCCCCCCCCCCCCCCCCCCCCCCCCCCCCCCCCCCCCCCCCCCCCCCCCCCCCCCCCCCCACCCCCCCCCCCCCCCCCCCCCCCCCCCCCCCCCCCCCCCCCCCCCCCCCCCCCCCCCCCCCCCCCCCCCCCCCCCCCCCCCCCCCCCCCCCCCCCCCCCCCCCCCCCCCCCCCCCCCCCCCCCCCCCCCCCCCCCCCCCCCCCCCCCCCCCCCCCCCCCCCCCCCCCCCCCCCCCCCCCCCCCCCCCCCCCCCCCCCCCCCCCCCCCCCCCCCCCCCCCCCCCCCCCCCCCCCCCCCCCCCCCCCCCCCCCCCCCCCCCCCCCCCCCCCCCCCCCCCCCCCCCCCCCCCCCCCCCCCCCCCCCCCCCCCCCCCCCCCCCCCCCCCCCCCCCCCCCCCCCCCCCCCCCCCCCCCCCCCCCCCCCCCCCCCCCCCCCCCCCCCCCCCCCCCCCCCCCCCCCCCCCCCCCCCCCCCCCCCCCCCCCCCCCCCCCCCCCCCCCCCCCCCCCCCCCCCCCCCCCCCCCCCCCCCCCCCCCCCCCCCCCCCCCCCCCCCCCCCCCCCCCCCCCCCCCCCCCCCCCCCCCCCCCCCCCCCCCCCCCCCCCCCCCCCCCCCCCCCCCCCCCCCCCCCCCCCCCCCCCCCCCCCCCCCCCCCCCCCCCCCCCCCCCCCCCCCCCCCCCCCCCCCCCCCCCCCCCCCCCCCCCCCCCCCCCCCCCCCCCCCCCCCCCCCCCCCCCCCCCCCCCCCCCCCCCCCCCCCCCCCCCCCCCCCCCCCCCCCCCCCCCCCCCCCCCCCCCCCCCCCCCCCCCCCCCCCCCCCCCCCCCCCCCCCCCCCCCCCCCCCCCCCCCCCCCCCCCCCCCCCCCCCCCCCCCCCCCCCCCCCCCCCCCCCCCCCCCCCCCCCCCCCCCCCCCCCCCCCCCCCCCCCCCCCCCCCCCCCCCCCCCCCCCCCCCCCCCCCCCCCCCCCCCCCCCCCCCCCCCCCCCCCCCCCCCCCCCCCCCCCCCCCCCCCCCCCCCCCCCCCCCCCCCCCCCCCCCCCCCCCCCCCCCCCCCCCCCCCCCCCCCCCCCCCCCCCCCCCCCCCCCCCCCCCCCCCCCCCCCCCCCCCCCCCCCCCCCCCCCCCCCCCCCCCCCCCCCCCCCCCCCCCCCCCCCCCCCCCCCCCCCCCCCCCCCCCCCCCCCCCCCCCCCCCCCCCCCCCCCCCCCCCCCCCCCCCCCCCCCCCCCCCCCCCCCCCCCCCCCCCCCCCCCCCCCCCCCCCCCCCCCCCCCCCCCCCCCCCCCCCCCCCCCCCCCCCCCCCCCCCCCCCCCCCCCCCCCCCCCCCCCCCCCCCCCCCCCCCCCCCCCCCCCCCCCCCCCCCCCCCCCCCCCCCCCCCCCCCCCCCCCCCCCCCCCCCCCCCCCCCCCCCCCCCCCCCCCCCCCCCCCCCCCCCCCCCCCCCCCCCCCCCCCCCCCCCCCCCCCCCCCCCCCCCCCCCCCCCCCCCCCCCCCCCCCCCCCCCCCCCCCCCCCCCCCCCCCCCCCCCCCCCCCCCCCCCCCCCCCCCCCCCCCCCCCCCCCCCCCCCCCCCCCCCCCCCCCCCCCCCCCCCCCCCCCCCCCCCCCCCCCCCCCCCCCCCCCCCCCCCCCCCCCCCCCCCCCCCCCCCCCCCCCCCCCCCCCCCCCCCCCCCCCCCCCCCCCCCCCCCCCCCCCCCCCCCCCCCCCCCCCCCCCCCCCCCCCCCCCCCCCCCCCCCCCCCCCCCCCCCCCCCCCCCCCCCCCCCCCCCCCCCCCCCCCCCCCCCCCCCCCCCCCCCCCCCCCCCCCCCCCCCCCCCCCCCCCCCCCCCCCCCCCCCCCCCCCCCCCCCCCCCCCCCCCCCCCCCCCCCCCCCCCCCCCCCCCCCCCCCCCCCCCCCCCCCCCCCCCCCCCCCCCCCCCCCCCCCCCCCCCCCCCCCCCCCCCCCCCCCCCCCCCCCCCCCCCCCCCCCCCCCCCCCCCCCCCCCCCCCCCCCCCCCCCCCCCCCCCCCCCCCCCCCCCCCCCCCCCCCCCCCCCCCCCCCCCCCCCCCCCCCCCCCCCCCCCCCCCCCCCCCCCCCCCCCCCCCCCCCCCCCCCCCCCCCCCCCCCCCCCCCCCCCCCCCCCCCCCCCCCCCCCCCCCCCCCCCCCCCCCCCCCCCCCCCCCCCCCCCCCCCCCCCCCCCCCCCCCCCCCCCCCCCCCCCCCCCCCCCCCCCCCCCCCCCCCCCCCCCCCCCCCCCCCCCCCCCCCCCCCCCCCCCCCCCCCCCCCCCCCCCCCCCCCCCCCCCCCCCCCCCCCCCCCCCCCCCCCCCCCCCCCCCCCCCCCCCCCCCCCCCCCCCCCCCCCCCCCCCCCCCCCCCCCCCCCCCCCCCCCCCCCCCCCCCCCCCCCCCCCCCCCCCCCCCCCCCCCCCCCCCCCCCCCCCCCCCCCCCCCCCCCCCCCCCCCCCCCCCCCCCCCCCCCCCCCCCCCCCCCCCCCCCCCCCCCCCCCCCCCCCCCCCCCCCCCCCCCCCCCCCCCCCCCCCCCCCCCCCCCCCCCCCCCCCCCCCCCCCCCCCCCCCCCCCCCCCCCCCCCCCCCCCCCCCCCCCCCCCCCCCCCCCCCCCCCCCCCCCCCCCCCCCCCCCCCCCCCCCCCCCCCCCCCCCCCCCCCCCCCCCCCCCCCCCCCCCCCCCCCCCCCCCCCCCCC